TGCCAACAAGGTGACTGACTTGGCATAGTCTTTAAGGCAGTGGTTCTCTCTCTCTCTCTCTCTCTCTCTCTCTCTCTCTCTCTCTCTCTCTCTCTATCACACACACACACACACACACACACACACACACACACACACACGGGCAAACCTCTGTCTCCAGAAACATTTGTATCACTATTCTTAGGAAGTAACAATGAAATAATTTTATGGCTGGCTGGGTAGTCACCAGCGCACAAGGGCCAAAGCATTAAGAAGGTTGAGAACCACTACTCTAAGGGAATTTGGTTTCTTGAGTTAAGTACTAGCCTCAGTATTATGCTCCTACAGACTGTGGACCTGGGATTTGCTTCCAGTTTGAAACTCCTCTGCAAGCCATGCAGAAGGGTGCCAGGCCAGACTTTCTGTTTGTATTTTGAGGTGTTTCCAGTTGACCCTTGTTCATTGCCTCTACTTTTGCCTAACCACTGGTGAGCTTTGGTCAATGGCATGTGTGTGTTCTAATTCCGTAGGTCTCAGGTAGGATATGCTTGGGATGAAGGTGGGCTCTGAGCGTTTCTGCTTCCTGAACCTGCCTGCTCTTAGCACTCCCTTTCCTACTAGTGTAACCTGCAGGCATTCTGGTTTGCAGGCAAAGTGAAGGGCCTCAGGTTTTTCTGGTTTTGTTGTTGTTTTTTTGTTTGTTTTGGCTTTGCTTCTGTTTTTTGTTTGTTTTGTTTTGTTTTTCCTCGTGAGACAAATTAACATCCCTAAATGCAGAGGTGAATTTGGGATTTACTAATTTCAAGAATATACTTTATAAGGCTGATGAAGAAAATTATGAAATAAGAGAAAGTTCATAGTCTGTCTTTGAGTATGTTTCTGCAGTACATCACATTGCAGTGTGATCGTTTTAAGATATATATGTATATGTATATACATATACATATACATATACATATATATATATGGATAGAGTCATCATGGGGTGAGGGTTATATGAGACTTGGCTGGATAAGAATGGGGTCTGGCTTGATTCCATGTGGTTCTTGACATCCCTGTTGGTTCTTTGTGCTGGCCAAAAGGCTTGCTGTGTCGATGAGCTCTGTGTTCTTGTGTGATTTCAGTTTCAGAAGCGCTGACACAGCTAATCCAAGCATTTATGGCTATTTCCACTTCCAGCTCAGTGGGTGGCTCTTTGGGGATATTCACACAGAAATGGCTTAATTGGATTTCAGCCTAGACACAGTATCTGAATGGTTCTTTATGAATTACATTAATTGGGCTGCTGCCATAAGAAAGGAACTCTCTCTAAAACACACACACACACACACACACACACACACAAAGTTTAGAAGGGCTATGATTCAGCCCCTTTCATTGGCTTGTTGATGATTTATTTAATAAATGAGACGGTCCTGGTTGTGGTAGTTCTTCTCTGTAGTGAGGCTGAGGCAAGAAGATTTGCTGTGGGTGTGCGACCACCCTGGTCTACATAGTGAGTTCCAGGACAGTTCAGTTCACAGAGGGATACCTTATCTCAAAAGACAGAAAATCATGACAGACTTACTTGAAAACATTTGGGTATGGTGGCACACACCTTTAATCCCAGCACTCAGGAGAGAGAGGCAAGGTGGACCTTTGTGAGTTCAGGACCAGCCTGGTCTACAACTCTGTACAGAGTGCGTTTCAGGACAGCCAGAACTTTGAGACCCTGCCTCAAAGAAAAAGAGACGAGGGAGGAGAGAGAGAGAGAGAGAGAGAGAGAGAGAGAGAGAGAGAGAAGACAATAGAGACCCTTGAAATGAAGAAATATAGTTAGTAAGTGTAACTATCCTTTGGTTGTGAAATATTTATTTTATAAATTCAGGGTTCATGTGGCTATTCCGACTGATTCAAGAGTGTAGTCTGTACTGACATTTGAAAAGATTTAGGGCCTAAAGTGGCACTGACTGCCTCAGTTCATTGGGCATTAACAATGGATCTTACAGATTTAATAAGAAATCAAGAAGCTTCAGTTAGCTGGGTGTGGTGATTCAGGCTTGAAAGCCCAACACCTGGGAGGCTGATGTGGGGCTGAGTTTGAGGCCAGCCTAAATTGTTTAGTCGGGGAACAGCCTGGACTAAAGTGAGACTTTGTCGCTAAAGTAAACACAACAGGCAGGCCACAAACAACAACAGCAGTAGAATCCACTCGCCCCACCCCCCAGTCTACCCAAGCAACAACCTGCAAGCATGTGCTGCAGACTGTTAGAGCCACTTGGACACCGGCCCAGAGGAAGTTGCATTCTCTCTGTGGTGACTCTTCCTCTCTGGATAGCTGGGAACATGTTAGACTATGGTCTGTGGTTTCTATGGGGACAGAAGTTGGTCCTCAACTGTGAGGGTTTAGGTGGACCTTGAAGAGGGGAGCTGAAACAAAGATGTTTCTAGGAAAGAGAAGAAACTGCAGCGGACACAGGCTTGTGGTTGCGAGGGGTCTGGCATGCAGAAAGAAATGTAGTCGCTTGTGCTTTGGTGGCAGTATTCAGAATATGTTAAGACAACTAAATGGATGTAAAAAGCACAATGTATTACACTTCAATTCAGTTACAATAATTAGAAATTTCCGTCTTAAATTCTTACAACCATTAGCTTTTTAAAAAAAAAAATCACCTTTTTCCCCCCATTAAAATAAGTTGAAGTTAGAGCTGCCGAACTTAGGATTGTTTTTGCTGAGATTTCTTACCTGTTGGCACAGATCCCTGGTGACCAGCTTCCTACTGTTGTGTTCATCAAGACTGCCCTGTTTTGTCTTTTTGCACCTGCTATTTTTCTCTGAGCGTGAAGTCTATCACTTTACCCAGTTCGTAGCATGTGCTTCTATGCCTTCCTTAGTTGGGCATTGGTAATGCTCTGCAGCGTGCACGTTTCTCACATTTTATTGTCCATTCATCTCTCTGTGCACACTGTTCCCTCATTTATTTATTTACTTACTTATTTATTCATTCGTATTAGCGTTAATGTTCTTAAAGGATCTACTCCTACTTCATAATAGTGCAGGCTTGAAGGCGAGCTTCTGACACATAAGCCTGATCCAGACCATGGCAGGTGATACTATGATATAAGGGTAGAGTCTTAGTCGTACTTCCTGTCCTGACATAGCCCTCTTACCTGGAGGTGCAGACCAGCCCAGAGTTCTGGCTAGTTCCATTCTGGGATGCACAGATGTATGGCTGGCAGGCTTCACAGGCTGAGCATTTGCCTGGCTAAATTAATATGTGCTATAAAATAGCACTCAGGTGCTCTCATTGAATAGCAGGGGTGAGGTTTGTGAGGCTTCTGATTTGATTGACTGTAGGGAAGCTCCAGTTTATTTAAGACAGTAAAATACTCTTTGTGTGTGTGTGTGGGGGGGGATGTAACTTTTCCAGAGAAATCACAGAGAATGCCAGGCATAGTGGTGCACCTATAATCCTTGAAAGAGGGAGGCAGAAGCAGGGTCCTGCCTTTGGTGCCAGCCTGGATGGCATAGTGAGCTCAGGGTCCACTTGAGTGCTGCAGGGAGGCTGTCTTAAGAATAGGAGGAAAGGGAAGCAAATGGTGCTGCTTACAGATAATAACCAGCGTGTAAATGGTGCTGTGTTTCTCATTAGGGTCATTTGGGGACCCTAATGCCACTTTTGCAGGGTGATGTGGGTTTGCTGAGGCGTCCCCTGGTTGATGGAATCCATTCTACAGTTCTCCGGCCCCCGCAGACACTCATTGGCTCCTTGAGGTGGTTAAAACCAGAAGACCTGGCCTCATCAATGCTTCAAGGGATTTTGTAATTTTTAGACTTGGATTTCAGGTGCCCTTACGCAGCCTAAAAAATGCATTGTATGCTTACTTCTACTCAGAAGGAACCCTAAGCCAAGAGGAAAAGAGAGAGCCTTGACCTCCCAGGAAAGGATACGTACAGGTGGGGACTAGGACAGGGCTAGGAAGGGGTGGACTTCCCATTTGCTAAAGCACTGAATAAATAGGGAATTTCTGCATGTCTAGTACTCGGTCAGGGCCAGGCCCCTTCCATCAAGTAATCTCACCCATGGAGATTTTTGTTTGTGTTTTAATGGGGGGGGGGTGTTGTGCATGTTTGAGAATTCAGGGGGCATATGACAAAGGCAGAATTCACAGCCCTGATAATACATACCATTGTCAGCTTTGACCATTTTTACCCTTTCTTTTATTCAGTCTTTTATCCCCAAAAACAAGGGTCATGAAGTAATTAGGGTTTGATATATATTTGTGGTTAGGCTAAATTAGCTTAGTCATGAAATGTGCTTGAATTATGTCCGATAGGAATTCATTGTTCCTCCTTCCCTCCTTTTCCTTAAAAAAAAAAAAAAAAAAAAAATGTGTGTTGGCATACTTTTTGTTAGTGTTGTATGCATCTTGACCTTTATACTAATCCCTGTGGTGTGCACACATGTATTGACAAAAGAACGTGTGTGTGGAGTGGGGTGGTGTCTCGCGTTTGATGGGGGGCCTGGGCTGTGTAGCTAGACCCAGTATCAAGAAATGACAAACAAAATCAAAACCACGCAGAAGAACGCTGGTGTGAACCTTTTCCAAATGCTGGGTGTGATTATATTATATTCTCATTAAGCCGCTGAGAGGCGTTACATTACAAGACATGCTCCTGTTTAGGGGAATGGGACCCAATTAAAGGGGAGGAGTAGAGAAATAATACCTTAGGAGAAGAGGGCATCCGCCATGTATTGGGCGAGCTTGGGTTTCAGATGACTCTAAAATTTACATTGGAGTTCAGTTTAGTGGTGCACTTTTAACATGGGTGCTGGGGACCAAATGCTGGTCCCTCTTCCAGAGCTATAAGCAACCTTAACTGCAGGGCTGTCTCTCCAGTCCCGTTTCATTAGTGTCTTCCTTGTCTGTCTTTCTTCTTTTTTTTCAATGGTTAGTTGATCTCAAACAAGCAAGCGTAGCTAATATGTGCTTTCTGTTTCTATATGTATTTCTAATATATGCTTTCTCTTTCTCTACAGCTCCCATAGGTTCTACTCCTATCAGTGCTACTCAAGCTCATACTTCTCTGCTGTCTTCTGAGCTGACTCAAGACCTTAGAGCATCACTGAAGCTTTGCAACCTTCAAGGTGTCCTCAGCAGGGGGAAAATAAGCAAACAAACAGAAAACAAAAAACCTCACCTTTTTGAAGAGTGCTACGTTTTTGCCAGTCACCTCTCAGTTGCCAAAGGTATGCATGCATATTTCTGCATAAAAGAGGCAAAAACAGAGTTGTTTGTTTTTTGCCTTGAGTGCTTAATTTGCATAGTAGTTATTTGTTTTTTATTTTTAAAGATTTTTTTTTTTTAAATTTGATTCGTATGGGTGTTTCTTGAATGTGTGTCTGTACCGTATGCATGCCCTAGTCACGGAGAAGGTCAAAGGTAGGTGTCAGATCTCCTGAAACTGGAGTATGGATGGTTGTAAGCCACAGTGTGGGTGCTGGGAACTGAATCCAGGTCCTCTGCAAGAGTAGCAAGTGTTCTTAACCAATGAGCCATCTCTCCAGCCCTCTGCATAGTAGTACAGCAGTAGGTGATGGCCCTGATTTGTTGAACAGCATTAAATTTAAGCTCTGAGGGGACATAATAGTTCAAAAACTAGGTTGCCACTATTCTGACTAGAGAGGGGGTGGTTTTGAGTGTTTACATAGAAGTGTGTAGACCAGTTAGTTCACAGTTCCCTCCCATGCAGCGAGGTTCTGGAACGTGCTTTGAATTGTGGTTGCCCATATACTAACGGGAGACCAGAAGTGTGCAGCAAGGAGGGAAGTGATCTTCAAAGTGGTCCAGCTAGGTACCGAGAGCGTAAGTTCACATCAGAAGAAATGCAAAGAAATAAAAGGTTCCCAGCACTGTTTCCCAAGTCTGCATGAGAGGATGCACTCTCAAGCTGTAGTAGAAGGAAGTGCGTTGACCTTGTGTAGCTAGGACCATGGAGCCCCCACAGTGATACTGGTGGACAAAGATGAGGCTGTGTAACAAATACATGAAAGAGAGATGTGTGTGTTGGGGGGGGGGGAAGGCAGTGTATGTGTGTGAGTGTTGCTGGGATTGGTATATGCTAGGCAAGCATTCTATACCTGAACTGTGGCCCCAGCCCTCAGAGATGCCTTGGCCATGACTGGCATTTTGAGGTCTTTGACTAAGGAAGGATATGGTGCAGTTCACTCGGTGTTCCCACTGTGAGAAGGGGTATTGTCATTTCTAGAGGGTCGCCTCAGAATTGCAGGGTCGGGACCCACCCACTGCCCTCCCCTATCCCCACAAATCTGACGCTGTTTCTGTTATTAAGGTTGTCTTAAGATAATCTCAAACCTGTCAATTGGGCTGTGGAGTTTGGCATAATGATGCCTGTAAATGTATTTGAATTTATATGAGTTAGAATTCTCTTTCATTTGGTCCGAAACCACCGCTGAGACACTTTGTGCTGCTTCTCTTTGATGCTTTTTAAAGCGTTAGTCTGGAAACTTGTTGATAGGCCTTATTTCGTGAGGGTGCAATTAATAATAAAGTTTCCCCATGCTTTCCCTTGGCGTCTTTATGATTTCCAGTGGAGAAAGTGGCTCACTGTCCCAAGGTGTGTTGGGTGTTTGAGGTGGATTCAGAGTTAGGTCCTGGCGTGGAAGCCACAGCTGACACACTCAGGCTTTGGAACCCAGCCCTCCCCATGCTCCTTATCACATCACTGCCCACGGAGGACGCTGTTGAGCTTCCAATCTCCTCCTTCCTTCACAGGACTCTCCACCCTCCCCTAGACAAGCCCATGGAGGGTAGGGAATATCCCGATCATAGCAGCAGATTTGCTTACGAAGGAAACTTCTCAAACCCCAGTGACCCACGGTCTTAGAAATCATCACTGGAGTGGAGCCTTATTGGAGTCAAGTCATTTGTCACTGTGGCCACCCATCAATCCGCTTGCCAGATTGCACAGGCCTGTAAGATAGAAGAAATTCCCGAATTCATTAATAATTCATCAGGAGCAGACTGGCACTGCATATGAGGAAGTTTTTAATGATCAGTCAGTGACACTGATGACAGAATAGGAAGGAGAGGACTCTACTGGCTCCTGGCTGTAGACCAGCCTGCACACCTGGCCTGTGCATTGCCCCGGCCAGGCGGTGATTTCAAGTGTTGTGTTCATTTCATAAGGGATGAAATCTATACGGAAAGCATTTCATTTTGTGGTAGCAATAAACACCACGAGGGCCTGTCACATTCTAATCCATTTCATTGTTGCTGTTTGAGCACTGTCTTTTAGCAGCTACAAAACCAGATAAAATACAGCTCCAGACACCCCGTGTGTGTGTGTGTGTGTGTGTGTGTGTGTGTGTGTGTGTGTGTCCTGGCCAGCTAGTGCAGGAGCTTATGCAGGACCAGCTAGACTCTATGGATCTGTACCGTGTGTCTATAAGCTGTATGTCTAGAGCAGAGAATCACTGCCCTTGGGGAAGGAGCCTGGGAAGGCCCAGGGATGTCACACTGTATCCAGTGAGTAGATACTTAATTGCCCTGCTTGGCACAGGGCAGGCCTGGTGGCCTGCATGGGTATGAGTCTTAGAGGCAGTGGTGTATGGGGCTAGAAATGCACTTTCTGGTCAGTGATCTTTTGAAGTACCAGTAGGAAGGGAAGCACAGTGGCTAGACAGCATCCTCGGTGTGCCAGACTACAGTCTACTGAGGAAGAATGGTGACTGGGATGGTAGTTCTTCAATGTGTTTCTCAGTTCCTGGGTACCCAAGGTGTTTACCAGGTTACTACACCTGGGCTGGGCTGAGGCAGCAGATAGAGGAGGGTAGGGTCTTTGAGCTCTTTTCTAGGGCTTCGTTTTCCTGCCCCATGATCTTGTCTCATCGAAGGAAAGACACAGAATTTGGGGGACCCCTGACCTGCCCCCTCGGAAGAACGGAGACCATGGAGACAGGATGCTCACATCCCATTCTCACACCCTCCGCATTTTATTTGCAGACACTTAGATGGAGAGTGGTGGAGGAAAGCAACCCATGTCTACTTCTGCCCCCCATGAGCCGTACGTGGGAAACTAAAACTTAACACATACATGAGTACAAGTACACCTACATGCATGAACCACACACGTGAAGCTGAGGAGTGTGGTAGCTGGGACAGAAAGAAGTGGCAATGGAGTGTCAGTCATCAGTCACCTCCCCTTGAAAGCCACCCACTCTGGTGGTCCAGGCTGGCTTACATCCCTGGCCTTCTCCCGTGGAGAGAAATGTCCTAGAAGGGATCACAGTGGTGACTCCAAAGGAAACCTTCACAATGTCAAAGGCAGGGACCTCACAAGCCAGAAAACAAACCGCAGAAACAGCCCTCCCGAGATAACCCACTGCAGCCCTGTGACATCCAGCTCGAGCTTCACCGCCGGGAGACTTTGCCTCTCTCTAACAAAATATTAAAACCACAAATCCTGTCCCTAGTCATCCCCAGGAGATCAGGGCCTGGTGTTTCTTCCTAAGTAATTCCACCTACTCATTCATCAAAAGAAAATTGAATTCGGCTTTTGTTTATCAGCATCCATTCCCCCCCCCCCCCCCAAGCGGGATTTCTTCTTTAGAGAGACAGCGAAATTCTGCTTCCAACTTACACTAGCAGGCGGTGAGAATAGTGGCCAAAGCTCCGGAGTTTGTAGAAAGAAAGGGCCTTGTGGTGAGTTTGAACCCCAGATCCTCTGCGCTCTGTCTTTGTGGACTTACTTGAGTTTGTTACCGAGCGCCCCCAAGCCTCCATTTCATCACTTCTAAATGAATCTGTAGGTAACATCTATTTCAAAGGGTTCCTGTGAACATTCGATGCACTCATCCATGTGAAACCCTGCTCTACTGGTCTCCGTGCAGCGGTACACGGGAATGTCTATTGTGTCGTGTTCTCTTTTACGTATGGTGTGCTTTTCTGTTTTAGGGAGGTGGTAAGACCTTGTCTATTGTCACAGCATAATTAACTTAGTAAGAATTGGAACAGCCTCCAGATTCCGTATTGTGTCCTGGGTAGGATTAAAGTGTATTAGCTGTAATTAGTGGCACTGCTGCAAAAAGCCACCAACTGGCCCTTCTGTTCCCCAACAGTGGAGCACGGGCCTTGCCAAGTGCTGTCAGATGAGTTGGCATCTGGCAAGTCCATCTACACACAACTTGAGAAGTTAATCAAGAGTTTTAGTTGCTTTTAAGACCCATTCATGAGTCAGTCTCTCTAATGCAAATGGGCTTTTCTCAAAGGCCCGTGCACCAAGACCAGGAACACTGATAAATGGGGGAAGAACATAGGAGGCATCCCTCCCCTTTCCAAAGAAAAGACTCGATACAGAGATCTGCTTCCTGCTGCCACAGGATCAAAACAGCCACAGAACACACGCCCTAAAACAGTGTCTCCTCCTTCTCTGGTGGTTCAGAGGGCAGAGTCCAGTAGTACGAGTCTCACTAGGTGAAATCGGGATGTCCTGGGGCTCTCGGGGAGCTGTCTTTGCCAGTGTCTGGAGACCAAGTCATCTCTTGGCTGCAGCTTACCATCTTTCAATCTCTCTGAGTTTCCTCCTCAGAGTAGCAAGGGTGATTGTGGCTGTCCAGAGCCTGCTGGATCATCCAGGGTCCATCTCCCCGTCTCAGAGGGAGCACATTAGTGACCTTACTTCCTGTTGGCCACGTAATCCAGCAGATTTGGGAGCATCTCCGCTCAGTAGAGGGACTGGATATTGACTTTCCTGCTGCAAGAACCCTTGCGCATCTTCTGCCTAAAAGTGGAATGCCGAAGTGGGTGACGCTTGTATGTGTTGTATTCTTCCCTGTTTATTACTTCCCGGATTGACTTCATCAGGGTTGTGCCCCATCTGATGTCTTAGTAAGCTGTATTTCCCGTAGTTTTAATGTGTATCTTGGTTTGTACCGCAGAGGTGTCTTGACACATATTCTCAATTACATGCCTTTATCGCTTGCTTCACCTACCCCCTCAGGAATCGACTAGACCTCTTGTTTGCACGGATTTTTTTTTTGTCGTTCCCAGACTGTCATTTAGTGGAATTGCTATTCAAAAACTAGTTAGGGGATATCAAGGCAGAGTCTTCTAGGGGTGCTACAAGAGAGTTTTACAGTTGGGAAGACAGAGGTCAGCTCCCCATATAAAGATAAGTGTGAGCTCATAGCTAGAGGGGAGGAGGAAATGCAGGGGGGGGGTGGGAGTCCCGGATGAGCAGACCTAACAGGATTCTTGCTGAAGAAGGCCAGGTGACTGGATATCACCTGCATCACCATGGAAGATGCTGAGGAACCTGATTAGTTGTGGGGTCGAGGCTCTTGTTAACACTGAGTGGTACAAAGATGAACACAGAAGCCACAGGGAACAGGGTTCCCAGGGTCTTCAATAAAGTTTGCCCAGAGGAGCCCCGCTGCCTCGACGCCTGCTTTCACCTCTCTACGAGGCATCTGCGTTTCCTCTCCCTTTCCCCGTTGCTTAAATATCCCCTTTGTCAGGTAAGCAGTTGTTTTATCTGTTCACCTACTGTGGGATGCCGTGGTTGTTTCCCAGTTTGGGCAATTATGAGAAAAAAAAGTAGCCTAAATGTCTAAGTATAGGCTTTGCGTGGATACCAGTTCTCAAAAATAATTTCATTATTACAGGAGAGTTTTGTAGTTACTTCTCGTATACAAGACACAAGTCGTCAGAACTGAATAACACGGGCACGTTGCTGATGCCCAGGCTTCGTTTATTTATCGGCAGTGTTTCCACCAATTTTCTGTCTCTGTTTTACCATCGTCTCAGGATACCACGTTGCATTAGTGCTACAGTAATTCGAGTCTGAGTTTATAGAAGTAGTTTGGGCGTGTTATATTTGCTGAATATCTCAGCATATGCCGAGGACTCGAGTGTAAACTCGTCAGCTGTAGGGGCTGGTGTTGTTTAGTCAAATGAGCACTTTAATTATAAGATTTGTATTTTCAGCTTTTTTTTTTTAAGTTTGCATCTGGCTCCGGTAAAATGTGCAGCTCATCTACTGCACGAGAGGGGCTGTAGGCCTTGGTTACAAGATGTCGATTCTCAGCCGTACTGGAGCTTGCTGGAAGGTCGTTTTAAGGACAAGTGTTTCAAGGGCCCGGAGGAGAGTAGTGGCAGTGTGGTCACAGGAGCTTTCACTGCCTAATTTTTCAAATCCGTCAGAGGACGAGGTGTCCAGGTAGCTAATGAGCATCTCTGAATGTTTTGCTGGCAGGAAGGGCTCCATGAAAGATGACAGAAGAAGTCATTGTCATAGCCAAGTGGGACTACACAGCCCAGCAGGACCAGGAGCTCGACATCAGGAAGAACGAGAGACTGTGGCTGCTGGATGACTCCAAGACCTGGTGGCGTGTGAGGAACGCAGCCAACAGGACGGGCTACGTGCCGTCCAACTACGTGGAGCGCAAGAACAGCCTGAAGAAGGGCTCCCTGGTGAAGAATCTCAAGGACACTCTAGGTGAGCGTCCATAGCCCACCTGGAAGAGCCAGGCCATTGCTGAGACCAGAGGATAGCATTGCTGCTTCAGTGTGTGTGTGTGTGTGTGGTGTGGTATGTGTATATGCGGTATGCTATGTAGGGGTATGGTATAGTATGTGTAAGTATGGTGCCTGTGGGGGGGTAGCTGTATGCAATATGACTTAGTGTGCGAATAGTGTGTGTATGTATGAGTGTGATGTGTGTATGTGAAATGTTTGTATGTAGGTGTGTGATGTAGTATAGTGCGTGTGTGTGCATACATGCATGCATGCATATGTGTGTGTGTGCATACCTGTGTGTTGGGGATGGTGTAATGTTGGGTTACGTACAGAGATCACGTTAAAGACTCTACTTTGTTATTTTCTGGATAACTTCTAGAGTTTGGGGTCTTGGGTAAATCAACTCTTCTGTGTGCTATGGAATATCCTACACAGCTGTCTCCTTGCATCCAGACTCTAGAAGACCCTGACTCAGACTCATGACAAGCTTCATAGCTTTGCCTGTCAGTACGCCAACCCTTTTCTCTTATAAAAGCCCATGTGTTGGCCTTTGTACACAGAGAAAGAGAAGACGGGTGTATTTTGGTCTTTGTTCTTGTCTTAGGTGATATTTTATACCACAGTTTCATACAGTTACTGGATGTGCATTTGGGTGATGAGCAATGTGGCATCAGAAGTCTCTCAAATGGACACTATAAGCCCTGTTCAGTTATGATACTCTCTGGTCCTTACCATCCATGCCTCCTTTTCTTCCTGTGGTGTATTAGTGCATTTCCTATCATTGTAACAAACTGCTTTATAAATTTAAAAAAGGATTAATTTGGCTTCCTTGAAGTCAGGTGGCTGTGTGTGTATTGCCTTCTTGGCAAAGTTTCAGTGCAGTACAGATATCATATGGCAGAGACAGGGGGAGATACAGAACAGGATGTGTGTGTGACATTGTTTCCTCTGTAAAGCCACCCGTATTCATTTATCCACCTTCTATCTAGTCACCTTCACCACCTAAAGGCCCTACCTCTAAGCAGTGTGATAGGAACCAGTTTCTTCCTTCCTTACAACGCTCAGTGGGGATTAAATTCAGTGTAGGGACCCAGGTAAGGAGATGCATTCGAACCACATCAATCCATAGCCACCGGTCCAGCAGGACATGCTACCGCAGTGGTGGCCAGCCATTTCTGAGTGTGTACACAGTGCCCACCAACCGTGGTTACTGCTTCAGATTGCTCAGGAATATAATCAGGAAGGCTCTGTGGAAGGGCAACTGAGCTGACAATTTACATCCTCGGGTAAGTATACAAGTATTTGTAGCCAGAGCTTGTCACTTCTGGTTTGCTGTAGAAGTGAGCCAGTACCATCACCTAAGCCAAGTGTATATAGGCTTTTCTTTGTGTTTACCGGAAGAGGATTAATTTAATTAGAGTGGGTGGAGGCAAGGGAAACATGAGAAAGCTCAAAGTAAAGTCACACTGGATGTGGTGAGTGATTTGGGGTCTCTGTCTTCTTCCTTGTACAGTCAGTCCTTAAAGGTCTGTGCTCAGTGTTCAGTGGGTGAAGCCTTGGGTCATTGGGTATTTTGTGCTACACGTGAATTTCCCTCAGGATGTCTGTGGCCAGTGTAGACTCCACCGAGACTGTTGGAAAAAATTCCATTTGTTTTTAGCATTCTGGGTCTTTTCCCACCAAATTCTCTCCCCTGTGCATTCTTTTTCCTTGCTTGAGAATGTTGGTGGAAAGAACGACCCCTGCCCTAGTCTTGGGCCTCTTAGTGTTACGTATGATAAAGAGAGCCGAGTTGGTGAGCGGGGTCAGTTCTTTAGTGTTGTTCAGAGAGTTTTTGACTTGATTTTCCAGCCACCTCCTAACACACCCTCTGGAGTAACAATAAGCATTGTTGACATATTTTGCCTTCAAAAAAAAAAAATCTTCAGAATTCTGTAAACCACAAAACGCACATAATTTGGAAGTGGAAAAAGTAAGCTCCCGAGGTCATGTAGCCTCTCAGGCGGCTGCCTGTTGACTATTAGGAGGAAAGACAAGGCCTCAGGTTGTGGCTCCAGGCCTCATCTTTGCCCAGTATGCCTGGGTGTGATCAGTTCATCTCGTCCCACACTCCTAAATCAAAGAGCAAACCAGTGCATCCATACCCTGGTGCTGGGCCCATTCCCCTGTCCCTGACAGATTGCCACCCAAGCCCTGCTGGAATACTTAGGCTGCTACAGAAGGCCAATTCCATTTTTGGAGAACACAGATTGTTAGAAAGTGCTTCCTTAAATAGAATCAAAATTTTACATTTCTTAAACTTCCTCCCCTTGGCTCTGACTCTGCCCTCCAGGGCTTTGCCAAGCAGAGCAAATCTCTTCAGTGAGTGACAGTTCTGTGAGCTTCCGTCTCAATTTCAGCACATGCTTCTTTGGGAACATTTGTATTAAGGATGAAAGATTGCAAAAATGCAGGCGCATAAAACTTTGTTTCTAGATATCTACATTTATTAATAGGAATTAACTATCATAGCCAAGGGGCCTTTGGGACTCGGGGAGAAGTGGCCCCTGTTAAAAATTTTTTTTCTGTGTCTTATGTGTGCATGGGCATGTAATGTGAGGGCACATGTGCCACAACATGTATGTGGAGGTGTCAGAGGATAACCCACAACAGTCTGCTCCTTGTTTCTACCATGTAAGCCCCAGGGGTTGAACTCATTAAGTCTTCAGATTTGATAATAGGCACCCTTATCCTTTGAGCAACCTCACTGACTTGGCCCCCATTTTTAATATTTTGTTTGTGGTTACTGTGTGTGTGTGTGTGTGTGTGTGTGTGTGTGTGTGTGTGTGTGTGTGTGGATAAAGAGGGACCTTGTGGTCTGAACACATGTTTCCTATTGAAGCAGTATCCAGAAAGAAGGAGAGACACCTTCCTGACTCATCTCCATATGCAGTAACTTCTTTCTCCACAGCCTGACATTCACCAGTTTGTAGGCCAGAAGAAGGTGAAGGTGCTTTCTGTGGCCCCTCCTTTCTCCCAAGTGTCTCTTGAAAGACAAACCTTGGAGTCTATGTGTTCATGCTTCTGTTTAGTTACCCACTCTGCTGTGTCCTCCGAGTTAATCATGTGCAGAATGGAAAGATCTCTGCTGTGTGGAGGTATCAAACCAGGGTTGACCTCTCCTGCATCCCTTAGCTTCTGGTACTGCATGCTGTCATCCATGTGGAACTTATCTGCCATAGGAGTCCACCCAAATTGGAGGTTCATGGGAGGACTTCTATGCCTGATGCCTACTGTGGAGTAAATTGTGGAGGAGTCACCCACAGAGTCACAGTGCTATGAACTAGAGCTTCTACGTGCGAGGGGAGGATCCAGTGTTTCTTCAAACTGATTGACAAAAACATCTCTTTGAAAGTGTTAACATTCTTTTATTTCAATAATTTGCAATTGAGTAAAACAATCTGATCTTGTATTGTCTTTCATGAGGGCAAAACATTTATATCTGCTGGAATGCCTTTCATGTTCAGCTCCTGGTCACCAGCAGTTAGAAAAGTGTTCCCATGCAGAACAAGGAGTGATGGCTTGTCAAGAGTGTTTCTGAAGACAGTGTCAGCAGTAAGCTAGCCCAAGCTACTTCTGGCCTTGACATTACAATTTGACCCTGGTGTGAGAATGTCCTTGTGATCTCCCTAAGAACACTACATAGGAGATCCAGAGTACACTCCAGCACTGACTGACTGACGTGTTTGCCTTCATAGAGTTGTGCATCTGGTTTGAGTGGCAGACCTCTCTGTGCAATAGAGCAATTGATTGGAAACTTGTCTCCAAGTTAGCATTATGGAATGTTGGAGAACAATTTAGAAACAATACTTTTCTCATTTTAGACATAGAAAACCAGGTTCTGATTAGCACAGCTCAGGTGAGGTCCCAGGTTAGATGACGATGATGGTGGTGGTGGTGATGATGATGATGGTGATGATGATGATGGTGGTGGTGATGATGATGATGGTGATGATGATGGCGGTGGTGATAATGATGATGATGGTGATGATGATGGTAGTGGTGATGATGATAGTGGTGATGATGATGATGATGGTGACGATGATGATGGTGTTGATGGTGGTGGTGATGATGATGATGTGGTGATGATGATGGTGAAGAAGAATGGATAACTTTCCCAGGTATGGTGGGTGTATACTACTGGGGTGGTCTCAGCAGCTTTGTCTCAAATGGCTCACAGAAACAGGGTTCCTGTCCCCTTGCTATTCATTCAAAGCATGCAGGGAACACTTAGGCAGTTTTTTAGAGACCACTCTGGGCCTAGAGGCATCTTATGGTCAAGGGGATGCTGTGACGCCAGCCTCTGCTCTGTAGGAGCATTTGCAGGACTGCAGGACTGCAGACTTCAGTTTGGAATTAGCCTTTCAGAGAGCAGACAGTATCAGGAGTGTGCACTGTGATCGAATGGAAGGCACAGGAAAACCTCAGATGCCCATGTATCCCGCTGACTCCTTATCAGAACGATGCCCCTGCCTGACTTAGGACTTGCTGTGGTTGACCTGTTTCCCGTGTCTCTAGGATGAGAGTGAGGAATGCCTGCTGCTTAATGCAACTATGCAGACTGTTCTAGAGCCATTGTTCAAGTCTTGTTTATGCAGCTATTTCTAAGAGAGGAAGTCTCACAGCAGACCTCCTCAAATTCTGGTTCTTCCTACTCTCTTCACTGTGGTGTCCCCTGAGCAGGAGCTGTGCTGCCGACAAATCAGTTGGGGCGAGGATCTGTGCAGTCCATTGGTCTTTACATCGTGTCTATTTGTCATTTTCTGTTAATGGTCTCCAGTACACAGCAGTCAGCCCTGAATCCATATACTCACGGATAGTGCAGATGGGCTCAGCAGGTTGTATTTTTATATTATAATATCATATGTAACTATAATAATCAAAGAAAAAGAGGCTACCAATTTGAAATGGTGAGAGCATGGGAGGAGTTGAGAGGGAAAG